TATAGGCTCTGCCTTGCTTTTATGCAGGAGGTAAGCAATCTTCATTCCAGTCATAAGTCAGAGTGATGGACCTCATTAATTTCCGACGAAAGCAGTAGCCAATTTATCAGATAAGTTTTCAATTAAGTATAAAAGTTTGATTACATCCTGAAAACTATTGTTTTAGAAATCTGAAGCATTAATGTTTTCCGTATCTTCTCATTTGCAAGAAAAGGAAATCTAACTAAAAAGTTTTGCATTGCGAGAGAGTCTGTATTTCTATACCTAATAGCCAGGTGCTATATCCCCACAGAAAATCACTCAGAGTGATTTGGGGATTTAAAAAAATAAAAATCCTTGCCTAGGAAAGGCTTCAGTGAAGGTCACTGAGATATTAAGTATGAAGGATAGCTGCTTAATTTTTTTTTAAGTGTAATCAAATCTAATCTTGTCAGCTAAATCAGAGAGAGGAAGTGATCAGTTTAAGATACATCAGAAGATTTGCATAGAATGAAAATGAATCAAAATTAGTTTTGGTATCTGAGATGGCTAAAATGACAGCCTAATTGCTCCCGAATCAAACGTCACAAAGCTTGGTGTGTAATTTTAATCATTGATGAGATCCAGGTTAATTACGCTCAAGGCACACATGCAATTTAAAAACCTTTTGAAATAATCTGATCACAAAGAGCATGAAAACCTAATAATTCTCTGATTAGTCCGGAGACAAGGATGTTTACCTTCCCATTTGGCAAATCTGCGCAAACAGTGTATGCATCCCGAGGAAAGCCTACGCCTCTAATGCGCTCTCCTCCTAAGGCCTTCTCTACAGATCAAAAGTTGCACAAGGAGAATTACACCAGAAAGCAAATCCCAGCCCCTTCCCTCTGCAGAGGACTGGTATACATGTCCTCATACTGGTATCTCTCAACTCTGACACAAAAGGATAAACAACGCTGGCATAAAGCATTTTTACGTGTAGCCACTCAGCAACTGCACGCGTGAGACTCTTTCAGTCACGCGTAAACACACATGCGAGCATGAAGACGCGCACCCGGCTGGCACCGACACGCACACGAGAAGTTTTTTGGACCGTTGCAGAGGAAAAGAGGCAGTAGCAGTTCTGGTTTGTTTTCCGGCAGTGATACAGGGATGGATGTGCAGTAACTCTCTCCTAGCCAGAACTGTGAAAGGATCAGCCAGGGTGAAACCTCTTTAACGGGTAAAACTAACTGATAAAGAAGGAGTTAATACAGCAAAGGGAGCCAGATGCAACTGCCTAAAACTGTTCTAGCCCTATCTGTGCCTTTCCATTTAACCTTTGCTGCTGGAAGCACGCTCTGCCCGTACTGCAGTATATCACCGTCTACCACAGCGTTGTAGTGTCCAGCACGCACGCAAAAACGGTTGCCAGAATAATCGTGGGCACGCTCCCTATACTGCGACCAGGATGGCATTTATGAGCATTAAATAATTTCACGCAGATACAAAGCGGGTTCAGCAGCATAGCATCTCACCCTTCCCCTTCTTCCCACAACCCCGCACCGAACAGTCTTGCTGTCGCAATTTCCAGTCTTAAAAGGTTTAGCAGAACTAAACCGGATTTTCAAAACTTCCACCACGTAACCAAAGTCAAAAACAAAACCAGCGCAGTAACAAGTGTCATAACATCTTTTCTGTTACCTAATCAACATTTTTAAATAAACTGCACATTTATAGCTATCAGTCTCCTTACATAACTTCAGTATTAATCAGTCCTAAACAATGACATCAGCCCTCTGATCACAATCATATAAACAAGAGTATATTTCATTCTAATTAAAACAAATACTAAATCTTTGAACCGAGGAGCAACACAGAGAGAAACCGTAACGTATATTTCCATCCTTGAGCTGTTTACAGTCTTTGTGGCCATGTTTTCTATCAGGTTAGGTAGATGAAATCATCATACCTTGACGAGGAATTAAAGATTACTGGGATGACTCACTGATTGTATGTAACATACGATGGAACATGCATCCATTAGAGGTTACAGCATCTTCAATATTGAAAAACAAAATATTTTCCCCCAGGCATCTTCTGTAAGAGTTATAACGAAGTTTCACAAAGTCACAGCTAAAAACAATCACAAGGACTGCCTCAGAACCAACATTATTCCACAAAGTCTCGACAACAGCTTTCAGTTCTCTTTACAAAAGCAATCACAGTGCAAACCATACAGTATCCTTCCTTCTCGTATGCAAAAACTAAAAAAAAATTAAAACTGCAAAAATGCATATATATTAAGCACGTATCTGCATAGCCTTAAGACATCATGAAAAAACAAATCTCTGCCAGTGCCATCAGCTGAGTTCACAGAAATACATCCCTGCCGCTCTGCTTAGTATTTAAAGTTCTCTCAGTAATTCACAAGGCCACTAACTTTGATCGTCTAAATCCTTTTCTCGGAACTAATGGCCAATATCCAGAAACCCCTAAATTGCTAACCTCTGCTTTCCTCCTGGAGAAACTGTGCTCTAAA